GTCAAATTCGCCGACTCCGACTCCTTTTTACTTACCAACTTGTTATGTATATAAAACGGAAAAGTATTGGAATCGTGTCAAATTTGACCCTCCAATTTTTTTTTTTTTTTTTTAATCTACACGTTTGGAGACCACCGGAACCTCTCAAAAAAAGTCAATAAAAGGGGAAAAATTTGCGTGTGTGTGTGTTGTATCTAATTTGTTTAATTTCTTTATTTTCTGTTCTGAGATATTAAACAATATTTTAGAATGGGTAAAGTTTAAGAAACGAAATGTGGCACTGTAGCCTGCATATAAAGGGGCATTAATACTATTAAATTTTGGTTTTTAATTAAAAATCGACAGGATGAAGACATAAATAAAAGTGGTCATGCGTCATATCTTTTAATGAATTTTTTTTACTCGTTATTAGTGTTCAAAATTTAAAAAAAAGAGTAAAACTCATCTCTACCCTCAAAGTAAGCTTTTTTGTCATTTTACAGTAGTACAGTAAAACCCGTTAAGATGTTCTCGCCTAAGATGTTAGAATGTGTATGGGGACACGATTTAGTTCAACCACTTTGACGCTTAATAACTAACTCCTGTGTTAAACCATCTGACTCCGATTCTGACCACTCTGACCACAGAAATTATTAGGCTTCAAACAGGGTGAATGAAATCATGCCCCACACACACAGTTTAATTAACATCCACACATATAGATAAAAACCTCGAATCTTTTGCATATCTCGAAATTTCAAGGTGTCCCAAGTCCGAAAATGTAAAAATTTGGGAGGGGTCATTTTTTGACTGAGTGCTACACTTTCCCTGTTATATATAACATCCGGAAAAGTAAAAATTATCAAATTCATATTTATATATTACTTAGAGGAGTCTTTTAGCTTTGGAATAAAAAGTNTGCATCATAATCAAACAAACAAATTCTTATACAAAATCTATAAGAATTTGGTTGTTTATTTATGCTGCACATCTGAAAAATTGGACTTCTTTCTACAGCGACGCATGTTGACCTTTTTTCCTAATTCTATATTTGATATTTGCCTTCTACTTGATTTTATTACCTTACTTCCTATAATTGGAACTGTATTTATTTTCAAATAATTACTACAATTGATATCTTTAAATAAATTTTTACTGTAAATAATATCTTTAAAGCAAAACTTTTGTTTTGTAGGCAATAAAAATGTAATAAGCAATCTTATTAATTATTAAAATATATAAATTTGTAATTATTTATTACATTTTTTAACTGCAAGAAGTTTGTTTTTAATTTTTGAAAGATTTATGACCTGCATTGCTGAAATTAAAAAAATATTATACATATAAAAAAAGTTAATAAAAAAAACTAAAAGGAAAAAGTACCATTAATAAGCTATTAAAATTTAATTATTATTTAAAGTATAGATCTGACTGCTCTATAAATGATTTTAAAAATAGAAAAACTTTCAATTATGTTAAGTGTTAAAATTTGAAATAATATAAATTAAAACTTAACAATTTTTATCTATTTGAAAAATTATAACAAATACTGTATTCTTTAACTTTTTAATTTTATTTGATTTTTTATATTAATATTCTGTTAATTTTGATTCATTCAGTTTTATTTTTAGTATATTTATTTTTTAAGATTAAATATTTATATTTTTAATATTTGTTTTTTTAACTTGAACTAAATTATTTTCTAAATCAATAATATTTTATCACAATAGTTTGATTCTTCATTAGAATAATTAATTATTATAATAAAGAAGGCAAAAATTTTCTTAAAGACAAGTTATTGTATGTTAAGTCATTTAGATTTTATTAATTTTTATATGTAAAAAATTAAGAAAATACAACTATCAAATGACTTTTTTTTAAACTGAATTTGATAGATTAATAATTTAAAATATCATCTCTAACAAAATAATAAATATAACTATTTATCTCTATTTAATTCTTTCATTTTTATGGGAGGGAAAAAATTCAAAATTTATACATTATTGAAGAGAATTTTTAATTATTGTAAATTTAATTATTTATTTTTATAGTTCATTGAAATTAGGATTACTGTTTTTGATATTAGATAAAAACAATTAAGTAGATATAATACATTTAAAAAGTTTTTTGAATTATTTTGACTGTTTTATTGAAGAGTCACTTAAGATGAGTTCTTATGTTATAAAGCATTAAGATATGTTCAGTTTTTAATTTGATAATTGTATGTCCAGATATATACAACTCCATCAGAACAATCAAACAAATATAGAAATGCTAAAATATTAAGGAGTGTGAATATTTTAATCAAGGTTAAATGTTTTTCAAGACATTTTGCCTCGACAGATCACAAGAAATTTAAATAAAGAACAGCTTTTAGAAAAGTCNACAAAAAATTTTAATAAATAAATAAAATTCTTAAACAGTAGCATAAGATTCAGAAAGTAATGGGACAATTTTCTCTCAAAAATATATATTCTAATTAAGGGATGGTTTGTGCTTGTAAACAGATAGTTTAAATTATGTACAGGTATCCCTTGTATAAGACGGTAGTTACATTCCAAAAAAGTGCCATGTTATGCGAATCTGTGCTTTATGAAACAAAGGACTAATGCAAAACATAGGGTTATGTTCCAGAAGTTAACAAAAACATACTATTCTTTTTCGTTACTAGTTGAACAGATAAAAATTTTAATGCAAAATCAAATAAAATTCATTCGGTGATTATAAAAATTTACTCGAAGAATAAAATTCAGTTTTCTTTTTCTTTTAGAAAGCTCTTGAATTACTTCAGTCATGGTTGCATTAATCTCTGTCTGTGTCTGTATGTGTTTGTGTAAGTAAAGCCAGTCCATTCAATCATGATTGTGTTATTGGTAGATCTTAAATAGGATTTTAAAAGATGTAAGGTGGAAAATGACCTTTTACTGACACATATTACTGGAAGCATTGCCAATATTTTTAATAAGTTAGGTATAGATTTTTGGGCTGCAATTTGAAAAAATTGCATATCTATAAATTCCCACTGTTGTCTGTGTGTTTTCCCATTTGTCCTTCCTTTCCTTAATCTCAAGAATTGAGTTAGAAAGTTGAGATTAGATATCAAAAGCTTAGAATCACT